AGTGGCAGAGCCAGGATCAAATCCAGGTCCATCTGCCTCTAGGGACTTCTTTCTCATGTGCCACACGCTTCCTGCCGTTTCAGAAAAACGAGGATTCTGCTGGATTGGCTCCTCGTCTGTGGTCAATCTGGCAGATTTCCAAGCAGGCATGGTATGGACCACCCTTGAACATGCCACACCCCATTCCACACCAGGGCCACCTCCATTCACAACTCAGCCTCAACATCACCTCCCAGAGGCTTTTCCCAACATCACATCTGAAAGAGCTCTGCTGACCCTGGGTTTTCCCTGGGTCATTGCCCTGTTAGATTTTCTTCCTAGCAGTCATCAAGGTTCATCATCAGACCAAGTGACATATCCACTTGTTTATGGCCTGGAACATAAGCACCCTTGGGAAGGCCTATACCTGTCCCGTTCGCTGCAATAACCCCAGTGCCGGCAACGGGGCCAATTAAGGTGGCTCACGAGGGAATGAAGGGACCCAGGACCCCACAGCTGCACACGCTCCGATCTCATCCTTTTCCACTGTGCAGTCATGATCAGACACTTGGCCTCTTCCACGTTTCACACAATTTGGCTTCTGCCTCTGGAACACCAAAAGCCTTCTCCAGTATCCCCATGCTGGTGGCTGCTACAGCTGCTACTTGAGGAGGTGACATAGACATGCCACAGAGCCACGGGAATGGCTTGGATATATCAGCCACGAATCTTTACCAAACTTCGTGAGGCAGGTCCTTTTTTAGAGATGAGAAACGAGGCGTAGGTTGGCAGAGCCACCTGCCCACCATCACACTCGGGATGAAAGTTTGAGTCACGTGTGGCTACCTTGAGCGTTGCCCGCTGTTCATGCAAAGGCTTCCTTCAGCATGAGCGTCCTCCTCCTTGTGAGTTGATCATTTTTTTGTGTGTCTTGCCATAAGTGTGTCTCACACACTGGCAGAAGCTTCCCAGTCTGCCGGGTTACAGAAATGTCTGGCAGGTAGCAGGCAGACCAGGATTCAAGGCAAGGCAGGGCCAACCCAAACACTGTCTTTGGAACAAGAATTGGAACCAGGCTCTATCCTTGCCTAACAGGAGAGAAGCCAGAGACTTTCCAGGAAGACGACCCGGGACATGGGGAAGAGAAAGGAGAGGCAAACAGGTGGAGAAAGCAGAGCTGCGCCCGCTCTAGCAGAGCAGGTGTGTGTGGGGCGGAGAGGTCAGAACACTCAGATTCCAAAGCGCATGTCACACTTAACTCTTTGCCAGTTCCTGCTTCTGTCATCGCCCAGTCGACTTCTCCACAGGGACGTTTTCCCGCCCCTGCCCCGGCCCCACTCCGGGTACAATTCGCAGTTGCTTGCCATGCACTGAGCACCTGGTGCCAGGAAGTGTTTATGGCTGTGCCCACATGCTCTACAGAGCAAGGCTAATCTCTAATTGGATGTTGCACAACCAGGCACCTCACCCAGGACTTGGGAAGTGCAGGACGGGCAAGCTCAGGGCATACAGTAGGGTAGGCAGCAGCCCTGGGGATCAGAACTCTATGAAACAAGTGCTCTAAGAGTGAGGAGACGCATAGGCGGGACTCTGGCATTCTCCGGTGGAAGTGAAGATCAAGACAGGGATGCTGACTTCCTTTGTGCAGCAGGGAGAGGCAGGCAGGGCGAGAAGCCCCTATGCTATATCCCCTCCAAGGAAAGAAGCAATGGAGGCTGGTGGGGCAGTGCTCTGTGGCCAAAGAGCCCTGCAGTGAGAGCTTCCCCCATAACACGGGGTCCATATAGTACCCTGAAGGTGGAAAGGCAGTGCTGCACAGGAGACAGGCCTCTGCAAAGGCAACCTGGGCATGAAGGAATTAATACCAGTCGCCACTTTCATCTCAGAACTGGGGATGCGGAGGCTGCAGCCACAGGAATTGCATGGCTCCCATCTCAGCTGGGGAGATGGAGCTGCCTTCCAGGCCTGGGAATTCATAAAGCTGGGGCTGGAACCCAGGTCCCCTGCCTCTAAATACTACAACCTTCCTGCCCTGTCCAAAGGAGGCCAGAGTTCCACTTTTGATCTGTTGCCTTTTCACAAGAACAACATAGGAGCAGGTTGAAAGGTGGAAGAAACCTCTGGTCTCTTCTCACTCTCCGTTGATTCTAAGAGGTCACCAAGGCAGACCGGGCAGAAACAGTTGCTGAGACAAGGGCTAGGGCTGGGGGTGCTGATGTCTAGAGGCAGAGAGTCCAGATCCAAGCCCCAGCTGGAGAGAGAGTGAGGGGAGCACCTCCTGCAGCTTCGGGTCTCTGTCTGTGAATAATTCATCGTTGTGACCCAGCCCAGCTCAGAGCAATGGAGACACTCAATGAATGTTTGATGAATAGCTGCGGAAGAGGAATAGTTCTGCAGTGATGGGACTGCTGTGAAAAGAGCAGACACACCCTTAGGGCGAGGGTGAGGGTTCCTTTTGCCCACAGCAAGGAAAAGACGAGAGAAGCACCTGCAGTACCAAAGGGAAGAGATCAGAGGTGGAAACAGGAAGAGAAGGAAAGTGAGCTGCGAGGGTGTGAGGTCAGATCCTGAGTTTAGGTCTGAGTGCTGCCGCTTGAACCAGCTTGGTGCCTCAGAGCAATGAGCGATGCCTGACTGGGCTGATCCAAGCACCAAGTGAAGTGATACATATGAAGGTGCTTTGTGAACTGCAAAAATCAAGCAACTTTTATTATTAGAGGTAAGGCCAGGGTTCAACTTCTGTGGAAGGACCATGTGACAGTTGCCCCATTCTTTTGGGGAGACAGGTCCTGACTACCTGGTTATTTTCCTCCTCAGAAAAAAGAAAATGCCCTATTAAGACGCCTGATAGTCCCAAGAATGGCTTCCTTGACTTCCAACCTGTTTTCAGCCTTGCGTTTGGAAGACTGCGGTGACGGGCTCAGAACATGGCCTGAGAATGTTCCAGGGAATCCAGCCTCTGTCTTTGGATCAGTCTCTCCCCAGACTGTGCCTGGTCCATAAATTCTCACTCCCCATGCTCTTGGGGAGAAACCGTCTCGCCAAGGGGCAAAGCAAAGCCACTTGCTCAATAACCTAGGCAAATGTCACTGGATTCCAGTAGCCTGTTCCTGCCTGTCTCTTTAGGTCCTCTTCCTATACGCCCCACCCACCCAATGTCGCTCAAGGCCTTTTTCCAACCTGGTCCTGGACACTTAAATAAAAAAAGAAAAAAAAACAAAGAGAACCCAGCTGCTCACTCCACCATTATTCAACTGTATCTCCAGTTCATATATTTCATGCCCCAAAGTCTTACTTTAGAAGACAGGAAGCTTTGGGGACAGGGATTGTTTTTACGTCTTGCAACACCAAATAAAGCTAGCATAGATTTCAATTTTTTTTTCCAAATTCCTCTTTGCATACTTTCCATTCTAGCTGTTTCATAATCCTCGTTCTTTTTCCCGTTTGCCTGATAACACCCCACTGAATTCATCTAGTGCTTACGGTTGCTTTGGTGCTTTGCCACAAATCAGTCTCGTTGAAACAGGTACAGGTGTACCTTAGAGATGAGGAGAGGGGGCTCAGTCAAGTGACAACACTCAGTGGATGAGCCCAGTAATGACATCTTCTTTCATCAATTTCAGGTCTGTTTGCAGCCCAGGTTGGCTCCCACGCTAGCTTCTAAGAGTAACAAAGCAACCAACATCCAAGATGCCAGATTTATAGTCCATGAGAGTGATACAGAAAGCGCTGGAGCTGGACCAGAAATGAAGAGACTGTTAGATTTTTATGAGAGAGACGAGATAAGGGAAGAGTAAGGCATCCTAGTCCTCTGCCAGGAGAGATGTGAGCACTGATTTTGGAGGGAACTCAGTGTTAAGGTCAGGCAAGCACTGAGAACCATCCAGAACAAGCAGGAAATCATCAATCTGAAATGGTAATTAAGCTGAAAAGGTTGTGGCAATTGCCAGACTGAGCGTTCACATAAGGAAATATATTTAACAAGATGGAATAATCAGACCAAATCCATCAGATTTGACCTCTCCTTCTGGGAAACTTTTTGGCAAGGGCCTGGACAGGGCAGGAACCTTCTACAATTTACCTGTGAAATCAGAAACAAACCAGCTCAAATCCAGCAACATATAGTGGAAAGACCCCTCCCCGCCCCAGGATCCAGAAGGTCTTTTACTTAGGAATTACCTTTACCCAACCTCCTCACTGGGTTGTGGAAAGGTCCAGGTGATATAGGGCTGAAGGTATGTGAAACATACCCACCTAAGTTCTAAATAGCATCACGAACCCCCTGGCTTACGCAATGTCCACAAGCAGGTAAAACAGGATGGGGCTGAAAGCTGGCTTTCCCAATCTTAGATAATCCCTGGTCCTGCTCCAACACACCACCTGTCCACTGACCAGCTTGGGTTATGGAGGCCTGTCTCCATGAGATGCAAGAGGCGGGGAAGTCAAGGTCCGGCCTACACAGCTTGGAGGCAAACAGGGCCCGCATCCTAGACGTCCAGGTGGAACGATCTATGCCAAGTTTATCCCTCCTTTTCTCCTCTCCCTTCCCAATTTTACCTTCCCCAATTTCTCTATCCCATCAGACCTTTTTACTATGCATCCAATTCACTACCAACAAGAGCCGCCCTTTCTTCCCTCCTTGACTCCGTTCTTTTTTTTTTTTTTTTTGAGACGGAGTTTCCCTGTTGTTACCCAGACTGGAGTGCAAGGGCACGATCTCGGCTCACCGCAACCTCCGCCTCCTGGGTTCAAGCAATTCTCCTGCCTCAGCCTCCTGCGTAGCTGGGACTACAGGCGCGCACCACCATGCCCGGCTAATTTTTGTGTTTTTAGTAGAGACGGGGTTTCACCTTGTTGACCAGGATGGTCTCGATCTCTTGACCTCGTGATCCACCCTCCTCGGCCTTCCAAAGTGCTGGGATTATAGGCGTGAGCCACCACACCCTGCCAACTCTGTTCTTTTCCCTCTAGCCCATTGGAATCCCTGGGGTACCAGGTGAACCTTTGAAGAAATACATGGATTTCAGACAGGGGGCCGGGTGCGGGTAGGGGTGCGGTGTAATGACTGAGCCACGCATTTGGGGTGGGTAAGGTGAGCGGCCCTGGCTCCAGAGAGGCCCACTACCTTTAGGAGTGCCAGATGAGGAAAGGGCGTTCTTGGCAGGATTTAAAAACAGAGGGCCATTGAGTTGAACGCCCGAGAGTAACCTCGAGTGCAGATGGACCTGTTGCCCAGCCCGCCTAGTGCTGCTAAATCCACCGGCTCAAGGCCTCACTCGACCTGGGCTTTGCAAACTCCAGCCCGTTCTCCTTCCACCAATCCCCGACGCTGGTCTCCAAGAAGGCCGACCCGAGCTTAGGGTGAGTCTAGATAATCCCTGGAGCGTGGGAACCCGAGCTACCGGGCGGTTTTTCCCAGGCGGCCATTGCGGGCCTTCTTAGACAAGAGTTCCAGCAGGAGCGAGTCCCAGCTGGGCTTTCCTTCTCCGCCACCTAGTCTGGATGGAGAGCGGGAGACAAGCGCCGAGTCCCACACCGGGCTGCCTGCGCTCCCGCTCCTTTCCGCTGCCCGCTGGGGCGGCCATCTTCCACATTGGGGGCGCCAAAGCCGTCAGCCGGAGCGCCCCCCTCGGGGAGTCTCTGGCTCCGGGCGAACCCCGCGGGAGGGGCGGGCGCGTGGGTCCCGGCGCGCGCGGTAGATGCTGCCCCGTTCTCCACTGCTGGGACCTTCACCGCGGCGCTGCCTCCCGGGGTCCCAGATCCGGTCTCCACCCCAGTTGGCCTAGAGGAGGAGGAGGAGGATTGGGGCGGGGGTACCAGTGCAATAGATGCACTTTCCTTCCCTACAGGACGTCCCAAGCTCCATTCAGCGCCGGAGGTCTGTTTGGCGCCTGGGGAGACGGGGCTCCTGACTCCGCCTTCAGCAGAGAAGGGTGGCTGGGGCGCCCCCAGACCCTTACCGTTGCATCTTCTCCAGCGTAGTGCCCGATGACCCGTTGGCCCCCCGGGTGCCGGTGGGACCATTCGGTGATGTTGTAAACCTTGCGGTCAATGACCAGCCACTTGTCGGTGCGCAGGTTATGCTTCTGAATCTCCTCCCAGCTGAAGGTGGGCATCGTCGCCTCGCGCTCGGCGGCCCCCTCGCCCAGGTTCCCCCCCTTCCCCATGCCGCCTGAGGATCGTGACGCTCCGCGCCCTGCGGCCTCCCAGCGCCGGCTGCTAGCTGCACAGACAGCTGTCTCCCGGCCGGTGTGTGTAGCCCAGGCCCTCTTCGCTTTAGGCTTTTGTCTTCTGCTACTCCTCCTCCCACCGCGCCCCCTCCCCCAGCCTCCTCGCCCGCGCCTAGGAGAGTCCCTGCCTTCTCCGCGGAGGATCCCTGGCTTCCCAGTGCCCCCAAGCGGTCCCCTTCCTCCGCCCCTCCCTCAGCCCGCCCGCTGTGGACTTTTGCCTCCAGTAAAAACTCTCCGGGAGCTCAGGGCCTCGACACCTCCTCCGCCCGCCCCTCCGGCTCCCCCTGCCCCGGGTTCCGCATCCTCCCGCGTTCCCCGCCGCCCGGGTTTCCACAGTGATCAGCAGAGCGCCTGCACCAATCGGGTCGCGTCGCCCCGCCTGCCATTGGCCCAGGAGGATCTTTCGAAGGCCAGCGGGCTGGAGTGGCGGGTCCTCGGCTCCCCCGCCCTCCCGCGTGGAGTAGAGCCCTGCTGCGAGACCGGCTACGTGTCGGACCTCCTCCCTCCCCCACGCTCCGGCCCCGGGCGCCGGAGGAGATCCCAGAGAGCCGAGTGGGGGCGGCGATTGGGCTCCGCCAGCTCCCGGGCGCGTGCGCGCGCGCCCGGCGCTCTGGGGGTTTGCACCTGATGCCCACACAAAGCGGGCGCGGTCGCCCCGGTGCCAGCAAGCGGGCGGGCGGGCTGGGGACGCGAGCTTCGGGTCGAGGCATTCAACTCCAGGACCAGCTTGGCTTTCTTGGCGCGCGGCAGTCGAGACTCCAGTATCCCACATTGTCCGCGCCACCCACATTCTGGCGCCCTCCTGCAACCTCCCCGGAGACAAGAGCCGGCCTTCGGTTAGAAGGCTTTGAACCTTCTAATCAAACAATCTTAGAAAAGAATTGTGGAACCTCTGCTCCGCTTTCTTGGGCTGGGCGCCATGGCTGCGGTGAGGGGGAAGGGAGGGTAAAAGAAAGGAAGGGGGCGACGAGGAACTGGCGCAGTCCTTGCCTTGGTTTCAATAAGCTCAGTCTCGATGGGAGACGTGGAAGCAGACACACCATTGGGCAGTAATATTGTACAGACTCCAGGAAATAAAGACCGCAGTATCAAAGGAATAGGGGGAGGGTTAGGTTTTTTAGGCGTGGGGCGAGGCAGGCTCCCCAGACCCCAGCTGGATGGGGCGACTTAGTGGCCGGCGCCCTGGGGAAATAGGCCTGGCTGCATCTGGAGGGCTGATGGGACACGTGGGAAGTAAGCATGAACAGAGCGGGTGGGGTGCGGGAGCTTGGGAATCATTAGAGGAGTTATAGGGCCCTGGGATTTCAATGGGATTTACAGGACAGTGTGTGCTAGCTAGCATATCCTAATCACTAGATTCTCACCACAGGCTGGGAGGCAAATGGGACCCGTTTTATTACATCTCACTTGAAAACGGAGAGCCTGAGATTAAGAGACGTGGTCAAACACGTGCCCTCCAGACATCACATGAAGGCAGGGGTGGTGGGGAGATCACTCTGGCCAACTGGTGGGGTTGTACTGGGGGGCCAGATGGGGTCACTTTCCTGACATTCCCACAGTCCCCAACTTCCCCCACAGCATTCCCTGCTGGTATCAGCCCTCAGCATCCTTCATTCACTCCACTAACTGCAGACATAAAGACAGCAGGGCCTCTCTGCCTTTGAGTGGAAACAGATATCCCAAACAAAAGCCTCCCATACAATATGAGAGAATGAAGCAAGACCCGGGAGAGTACGGTGACCTTGATGCCTGTCAAAGATTGACTCAGATAAAACCAAGAGCATTATTTTTTTTCAAAAATGGATGAACACACCTATGGATACCTTTAATGAACATTTGTAAAAGGCATGGAGCTCAGAGCAGGGAGTGATATCTGAAAGGGAGAACCGGCCGGGCGCAGTGGCTCACGCCTGTAATCCCAGCACTTTGGGAGGCCGAGGCGGGTGGATCACGAGGTCAAGAGATCGAGACCATCCTGGTCAACATGGTGAAACCCTGTCTCTACTAAAAATACAAAAATTAGCTGGGCATGGTGGCGCACGCCTGTAATCCCAGCTACTTGGTCGGCTGAGGCAGGATAATTGCCTGAACCCAGGAGGTGGAGGTTGCAGTGAGCCGAGATCGTGCCATTGCAATCCAGCCTGGGTAACAAGAGTGAAACTCCGTTTCAAAAAAAGAAAGGGAGAACCAGGGAGTATCTCAGAGGGAAGTCTTTGAAGGTTCAGGCCCTAAAAGGCAGCATGTATGGGTGGCCTGTGTGGGGTGGCTGAGAAGTGTGGACTGGCCAGAGCCTAGGGTCCCCAGTGGCTCCCAGCATGACACTAGCCTGGGTAGGTCCTGAAAAAAACATAAAAACATGTGTTGAAGACACAAATGGATGAATGCACTTTGAGGAATGACTCTGGTGAGGCCAGCAGTAGACAGGACTTGAACTGGGAAAAGCCTGAGCTGCCTCAGTAAGGGGGGAGAATGGAGGACTCGGCTGTGATGGAGGCTTGGACATCCGTAAAGCAGGTGTGCTATGATCAAATCCATGATGTAGAAATAACTCCGGAGGCTGGGCTGGGATGTATGGGAGAAACGGGAACAGCGATGAGTTCAAAGATGAGGGTGGTGCTTGAGGAGAGGGGAGTGGAGGCCTGAATTAAGAGAGAACTTGAGGGGCTGACCCCACACCAGGCACTGCTCTGTGCCTCCCTGCCCTCTAATTTTTTAATTTTTTGTACATATGTTGTCTTGCTATGCTGCCCAAGCTGGTCTTGAACTCCTGCTTCTGTCTTGTCTCTTGCTCTCTCTTCTTGGAGAGACTGATGAGACTGTTTTCCTGGAGAAAACCCCATAGTGGGGTTTGTGCCCATCCAACCCGAAGTCACTTAGGAAAACGGGTAATCTCAGGGGGGAACGAGGTTCCTCTGGCTTCCTCCTGCCCCACAGTATCCCCCAAAAACAGCTCCAAGGACTGCAGCTTCCTGGGGACCTTGCCAGGACCTTGTTGTGATCATTGTACTGTACTTGATCAGGGACAAAAGAGGCCGGCCTGGGTGGCTTGGAGCCCAGACTCTTTCAGGCAGCCAAGTGGGTAAAAGGCTAGGCCAGGTGGGGAGGTGCTTTGGGAGATGGGGCCTGGAGGGCTGGAGCCCATGCCACCCATTCAGCCCAATCCCCACTGAGTGGGTGAGGGAGGCTTTCTGTCTTGTCCTCACAAGGAGTCTGAGGTCTGCTGGAAGACTCGCAGGGTCTTAGGAGCAGAGACTGGCTAATCAGAGGGAGAGTGAAAGTGAAAGGCACTCTTCAGCCATCCAGCAGCCAGCAGGGACACGAGAGGGCCTGTGACACTGACACGAGCACCTGGCAGGCAAAGGACCAACAGAATACCTCTCCTGGCTTCTTCCATCTCTTCCTTTCCTTGATTGATAAGTAATCTTTATCAACCCATCTTTTTTTTCTTTTCTTTTTAATTTTAATTTTTTTTTTTTTTTAAATAAAGATGGGGTTTCACCATGATGGCCAGGCTGGTCTTGACCTCCTGACCTTAGGTGATCCACCCACCTCGGCCTCCCAAAGTGCTAGAATTATAGGCGTAAGCCACTGCGCCCCGGACTATTAACCAATCTTTAAAACATCTAAGTTGCGTCTTCTCCAGCCATCAGCCCTATTTTTCACCGTCCATTCACTGTCAAATTTTGTGAAAATTCTCTCTCTGGGTCCATTTTTTTTCCTTTCCTTCCCTTCCTTCCTTCCTTCCTCCCTCCCTCCTTCCTTCTCTCCCTTCCCCTCCCCTCCCCCCTCCCCCACTCCCCTCCCCTCCCCTCCCCTCCCCTTCCCCTCCCCTCCCCTCCCCTCCCCTCCCCTCCCCTCCCTCCCCTCCCCTCCCCTCCCTCCCCTCCCCTCCCCGCCCCTCCCCTCCCTCCCCTCCCCTCCCCCTCCCCCTCCCTCCCCTCCCCTCCCCTCCCCTCCCCTCCCCTCCCCTCCCCTCCCCTCCCCTCCCCCCCTCCCCTCCCCTCCCCTCCCCTCCCCTCCCCTCCCCTCCCCTCCCCTCCCCTCCCTCCTCCCCTCCCTCCCCTCCCCTCCCCTCCCCTCCCCTCCCCTCCCCTCCCCTCCCCTCCCCTCCCCTTCCCTTCCCTTCCTTCCCTTCCCTTCCCTTCCCTTCCTTCCGTCTTTTCAAGGCAGGATCTTGCTGTCACCCAGGGTGAGTGCAGTAGCACAGTCATGGCTGACTACAGCCTCCCTTCCCAGGCTCAAGCCGTTCTCCCACCTCAGCTTCCGTAGTAGCTGGGACTACAGGCATGCGCCATCATGCCTGGCTAATTTTCTACGTTTCTGTAGAGATGGGGGTCTCACTATATTGCTCAAGCCGGTATTGAACTTCTGGACTCAAGCCTCCCACCTTGGCCTCCCAAAGTGTTGGGATTACAGGTGTGAGCCACTGTGCCTGGCCTCTGGGCCTACTTTCTGTCTCAACCATTTATCAGATCAGTGCAGTCTTCTCTGATTCTAACAGTAAAGATAACTATCCTTCTGATTGGCTCATCAATCTAGGTGTGCGAAGGACTCTCAAATGATGGACAAAAGCATTTGCATGCTATCTGTGGCTGAGGAAGCATTCAGAGGTGATTCTTATCCTTCTTCCTCTTAGCCTCATCCTCACAACAAGGCATAAGGTAGGTATTATTACTCTGTCTTTCCAGATAAAGACATTGGCGTTCATGGAGATAAGTCTGGCCCTTCCATCTGCCCATCATCGATCGAGTCTTGGAACACAAACCCCAGACCTTGAAAGCAGCCCTCTTGGCCTGCTCCCATCAAGCCTCCTGGAACCCTCTCTGAAAGGCCAGCAAGTCCAGCCGTGCCTTCTCAGACCTCTTCAAGGCATCCATCCACCCACCCGACGTCCTGAAGTGCCGTGCTTTCGGATTCTCTGACAATGCACAGTCCCCAGTCTGCTGCTGGACCACCCTCTTCCTGCCTCCTCCACTTGTTTCTTTTCCTCCGCCTCCTCCCCTCCAAATGCTCTGGGCCCTTGGCTCACTCCGTGTTTTCTCCGTAAGGGAGATGACTGCATCTGGGATGATGCAGCTCAAGTGGACATCCACAGCCCTTTCCCAGGGCCAGAGTACATTTCCAGTCAGCTCTTGCACATGCAAAACGGAGCCTCCTGCTAGCAGCTCAAAAACAGCACAGCCTTCTCGGGGCAAGGAGAGGTCGCACCAGATGTGCTCTCGGACCTATCCAGGTCTAACCCTCACTGTTTCTGGCCCCAAACCGACATCATCATCATCCCTTCCAAAAATCGGCCCTTCCTTTTAACTCCTTCATTTCTATCCCTGGTACCACTGCTCCTCCTGTGACTTGGTCTCAGAATTCCAGAATGTCTTTTGCTGCTTCTCATCTCCCGCCTCCCACCCTTGAAAAACAACTGTCATATTCAGCAGATTGTACCCCCAATGGTGTTTTCTTCTGCCTCCGCTGCCGCCTGCACTGGCCGAGGCTCCCTGACAGCCAGTGGTTGCACCCACTGCTGCTGGGTTATCTTACTGAGGCCAGAGCTCACTGCCCCCAAATTTTCAATGGTTCCTTGTGGCCTAGAGACTCAGTAGGGATGGAGAAGGAAGGAAAACGCACTGGAGGAGAGCCGGAAGCAGCGGTACCGTTTCTGCCCCTCCCTGCTGGCTCCTAAAGGCCCCTTGGGGAAAGAGCCCTGGAATAGAAATACAAAGACATAAACTCTAGTCCTGGCTCTGTAGCCACCCAGCTTTGAAATCAGTTTCATGTCCCATCAAATCAGATGGTTAGATTAGATGCTAAGTTGCGGCCAGCTCCAACATCATAAATATGTGTGGATGTCACATCTATAGATAGGTGTGAGTATCATTTAACTTACATCATACCAATTTTAAAAGTGCTTTTCCCACCAGTTATTTCAAATGACTGTCACAGCAGCCCTTTGAGGCAAACAGGATGTGTATGTGTCGCTTTTTTTTTTTTTTGAGACGGAGTTTCGCTCTTGTTACCCAGGCTGGAGTGCAATGGCGCGACCTCGGCTCACCGCAACCTCCGCCTCCTGGGTTCAGGCAATTCTCCTGCCTCAGCCTCCTGAGTAGCTGGGATTACAGGCACGAGCCACCATGCCCAGCTAAGTTTTTGAATTTTTAGTAGAGATCGGGTTTCACCATATTGACCAGGATGGTCTCGATCTCTTGACCTCGTGATCCACCTGCCTCGGCCTCCCAAAGTGCTGGGATTACAGGCTTGAGCCACCGCACCTGGCCATGTATCGCTTTTTTACAAATGGGGAAACGGAGCATCCAAAGGGTTAAATGAGTAGCCAGAAGTAACAGAGTATACTTTGGAATCAGACCTAAAAAGTCAAACTCCAATGACTTAACTTTGCAGAGCTTCAATTTCCCTGTTGTAAAATGAGGCTCCTCAAGTAGTGCCCACTTCTGCTATGTTGCCTCCTTTGGGTCACACCACGTTTGGGCTCCAGCAGGGAGAGTCAGCCGTGCCAAAAATCGAAGGCTGGGAGGTGGGGGCTGGATGCTAGCTTGCTAAGACCCTGAGAGGGTCTCTCGACCTGAGACCCTCAACCCAAGAGGGTCTCTCAACACTACCTCAAGCAAATTATGGCCTCCTAATGCTGTGTCTCTCGGCAAACACTCAGGTGAGAGGAGGGGACCCAGATACAGCAAAGGGGGATCACAGCGGGACCCCCCAGGATCTGGACTCTGAGACCCTTTGGAGCTCTTTGACCCAGTAAGCCTCACCCTCAAATACTCAATTTTGCTTGTGGTGTTGGATCAGGTCTTATCATGCATATTTGTCTTGGCTGTTATTTCACTAAGGCCCTGACCTCAGCTCTGAGAGGACAGATGTTTTCAGAGTCAAGTTGGCGTATGGCCAACTTTAAGAGGCTGGGGAGGGGCAGAGGAGGCACTACCAAGGCAAGAGAGCCTGTGGAAGCCACGGGGCAGCAGTGAAGCAGAGGAGGAATACGGTTGAGGTGCTGGCCGGGCAGGAGACCTCAGAAATACACAGTCGGAGGCACGGGCCAAGAGGTCACAGGGTAGGAGTGCTCTACCTTGGGGCAGAGAGCAGCCTGGTAACTCTCTGGCTTGACCTTAAGTCAAGGAAACTAAAGCCCAGAGATTGGCTTATCCAAAGTCACACAGTGGGAAATCTGAGAGGTTTCCTATTTCTAAGACTAGGATGGTCCACCCTCTCACCGAAAACACGTAAAAATCTTCGATAAAATATATCAAGCATCACTGAAATGCAGCAGTCATGAATTGCTTCATCTGTGCAAAGGTTTATCAGATTTGGTTGACCTGTCCCTGTGCTAATGAGCAGTATCTCTCGCCTTTGGGTCTTGCCCCTGGGGGCAGGGACACCCTACCCTAGCACCACCACTTAATGTCATCTCCATCTGAAGGCCAAGTGGAGCAGGGGCAACCAGATGACAGCACACTGAGGTAAGAAGGTCGCCACATGGGGACAGGGTAGGCTCAGGTTCACTGCCCTCGTTTGCCTGCTTGGCTCTTTTCTTTCTTGTAAATAAAATGGTTTTGAGTAGATAACCTCTTAATTCCTCTCTCATCTGTGATTCTGCTTTCTCCAAGGGTGGTAGGTTGCTTCAAGCTCCAGGCTTAGGCGGTCAGCGTGCACTCCAGTGCTGGCTTCTAGAAGGAACCTCCTGCAGTCTGGAGGTCTCTGAGTCATCTGGGAATGCTGTCCGGACTGGTACCGGCAGACTGGCAAACACTAAAAAGCTTCCTGTCTGCCCGAGTTTGTCCCAGAGTAAAAGACGCTTCTGGTCTCATCTTTCCTCACCTCCTGTCCCTGGCCCTGACCCCAGGTGTGGCGCAGGGAGGGTCCTCCTTATCCACCTCTGCCATTTGCTCTAAGCCCTCAATGTCGAACCTACATCTCTCACACCCTCAAAGAGATCCCCAGGTCTGCCAAGTCAACTCCTCCCACTAATTGTCTCAAAAGTGTATTCTGCCTGCCTCTCCCCCCCCGCCCTAGGCACTGCCCAGGTCCAACCATCTGCGTGTTCCTGCCAGAGTTCTGCACCCAGAACTGAAGAACCTTGGTGGTCTGGCACCTACCTCACTTTCCTGGCTCTTTTCTTTCCTCCAGTCATCCTTCCCTCCGGCCATGCAGGGTGGCTCACGGTTTCCCACGAATGGCCATGGTCTGCCAGTCCTCCTGGCTCTTGGTCCATGCTTATCTCCTGACCAGAGTGTTCTTCCCCACCTTGGCTGCCTGCAACTCCTACTCCACCTTAAGATACAGCTGGTGATTGGCCTCCACTGTGGCCAAGTTAAAGCACTTTTTTTTTTTTTTGAGATGGAGTCTCATTCTGTTGCCCAGGCTGGAGTGCTGTGGTGTGATCTCGGCTCACTGCAACCTCCCCCTCCTGGGTTCAAGCAATTCTTCTGCCTCAGCCTCCTAAGCAGCTGGGATTACAGGTACACACCACCATGCCAGGCTAATTTTTGTATTTTTGGTAGAGACAGAGTTTCACCATGTTGGTCAGGCTGGTCTCGAACTCCTGACCTTGTGATCCACCCGCCTCAGCCTCTCAAAGTGCCGGGATTACAAGTATGAGCCACCGTGCCCAGCCACACTTCTATATATGGCATAGAATTATGTGTGCATCTCCCTCCACCAGCCAGCCGGTAAGTTCCCTGTGAGAAGAGGCTGAGTCTGATCAGCATGGAGTCCTTGATGTGGGCCACGTGCTGGATGCACATTAAACATTTGTGGAATTCAGCTCCAGAGAGAGCTCTGGGGAAAGTCTGAGCAAGGGGCCCCACACTTGAGCAGGGGATGCATCCTGCGTTGTGACCCTGTGGCTGGGCTGAGCTTCCAGGCTCTGGGAGTAAACGTGGTGCAGTGGTGTAGTGGAAAGTCATGCCCTCGGGTTAAAAGAGCCCCCTCCAACCACCCCGCATCACATTCCAGCTTTGCCTTCCAATGGCTTACTGCATGCCCCGGGACAAGTCACTTCATTCATTCATTAGTATATTTGTTCAGCATTTAATGGGCATTGTGGTGGCTTTATAGTGTCAACTTACCTAAGCTGAACTACATGGCCCAGAATTCCTTTGCCTAGAGGGTCGTGGGTTGGCGGAGTGGTGCGGGAGAGAAATGTTCACAAGATTTGGAAGTGGAAGGACAGCACAGCCGTGTTTGCTGTGCTCTGAGGCTGTGCAGGGCAGGCACGCAGCACCTCCCCTAAGCTGGTGCTAAACGCTGGCTTATCGTGTTGACCCGGAGCAGCTGCAGGCCCACAGGTCATCCAGCTCCTGGACGAGGTGTGCGGCTCTGGAATGAAGATCCCCAGTTTGTCCCTCAGGGCCCTGGCATCATAGAGACTGCAGGTGGTGAGAGTCAAATACCGTTCCAGTTTGTTCTTTATCTTTCCCACTTCACATCCAGCCTCTCTCCCTGAGCCGGCCCAGCTAACCTCAGGCCCAGTAGAGACGCAGAGATAACCTCTTACACAGACCAAGCAACCATCTCCCACCGTCAAGGAGTTCTGACCCCTGGAGAAACCCCTTATTCTCTATGGCTCACTGGAGCTCAGCTTCTGATGGAACTGCAGTGGATCCTCTGTGACAGGCACCCTCCTCGTCCATGGAGATGGGAAAATAAGCAAGGTGTCACCCTGCTGGGGCTCAGCTTTCTCATTTTTACCAGGTGGGTGGAGAGGTTCCCAACTGCTCTGTCAAGGCTGTGATTGGACAAGCCCCCAAGTGAAAGGCACATGGAGCCACTGTCTGCACACCCATGGCTCAGGAAACCGCTGCTCCTGGGACAGGACAGCAGGAGTCAAGAAGCCACGCAGAGGCCGGGTGTGGCGGCTCACACCTGTGATCCCAGCACTTTGGGAGGCTGAGGTGGGCAGATCACCTGAGGTCAGGAGTTCCAGACCAGCCCATCTGTACTACAAATACAAAATTTATCTAGGTGTGGCAGCAGGCACCTGTAATCCCGACTATTCAGGAGGCTGAGGCAGGAGAATCACCTGAACCTGGGAGGCGGAGGGTACAGTGAGATCATACCACTTCACCTGCACTCCAGCCTGGGCAGCAAAGTGAGATTTCATCTCAAAAAAAAAAAAAAAAAAAAGCCACAGGAGCCAGGCTTTGATGACCTTGAGGCCGTGTCTGCCCCAGGACTAGAGAGACCTTTGGGCTCTGACTGCCAGTTAGTTTAGCCAAACAAACACTTGTTATTTTTCTTTCCATTAATCCTGAGGTCAAAGACCTTCCGTGCTGTGTGCAGGAAACGGGAGGGTTGCAACCTCTATACTGTGCTTTTTAAAACTCTATCAGTAGGGAAGGAATAGCTTATTAAAAAAAAAAATTCAATCTGTCACAGACGGACACTTCCTTAAAATACAACAAAAATGAATCATTAGAAAAGTAAAATAGAAAAAAAAATACCTGAACCCAGATTATTTTTTTCAGACAGAGTTTTTCTTTTGTCGCCGAGGCTGGGGTGCAATGGTACAATCTCGGCTCACTGCAACCTCCATTTCCCAGGTTTAAGCGATACTCCTGCCTCAGCCCCCCAAGTAGCTGAGATTACAGGCATGTGCCACCAAGCCCGGCTCATTTTGTATTTTTAGTAGAGGCAGGGTTTCACCATGTTGGCTAGGCTGATATTGAACTCCTAACCTCGGGTGATCCACCAGCCTTGGCCTCCCAAAGTGCACCCCGATGGCTTAGGAAACCGCTATTCCTGGCACGGAACACAAAGAGTCAAGAAGTCAAGAAGCCACGTGGAAGCCGGGCACGGTGACTCACACCTGTAACCTCAGCACTTTGGGAGGCCGAGGCGGGCAGATCAACTGAGGTCAGGAGTTCCAGACCAGCCTGACCAACATAGCGAAACCCTGTCTCTACTAAAAATACAAAAATTAGGAGTGGTGGCGTGAGCCACTGTGCCCAGCCTCAGATTTTTTTTTTAAAATTAGAGCTAATAGGCATTAAATTACACCATGAAATCACTAGTCACATTTCTTTATTTTATTTATTTATTTTTTTTGAGACGAAGTTTCGGTCTTGTTACCCAGGCTGGAGTGCAATGGCGCCATCTCGGCTCACCGCAACCTCTGCCTTCTGGGTTCAGGCAATTCTCCTGCCTCAGCCTCCCGAGTAGCCAGGATTACAGGCAGCTAGACACATTTCTAACTGCTTACTCTCGGTTCTTGCACTTACCTCACCACGAACTGGTCACCGGCAATCTGTGGAAAGTGCTGACATGTGAACCACACTCCAAGTAGTACACGCCAGGGGGCTAGCCTGGCTCCCTCACGTGCGGGCACTGCAGGCGAGGTTTCTTACATTCTGGTGCAGAACAAAGAACATAGGCCTTGAAGCCTCTCACCCTGTGACCTTGCTCCAAGACCAAACCTCTCTGGGTCTCCAGTTTGGCATCTGCAAAGTAGGGCACAGGTGGACTGCTGGTGATGTTAGCAACAGCACATTGTACACCCAGCATAAAACACAGGCTGGGTGCGGTGGCTCATGCCTGTAATCTCAGCACTTTGGGAGGCCAAGGCGGGTGGATCACAAGGTCAGGAGTTCGAGACCAGAGTGGCCAACATGATGAAACCTTGTCTCTACAAAAGATACAAAAATTAGCGGATGTGGTGGCACATGCTTGTAATCCCAGCTACTCAGGAGGCTGAGGCAGGAGAATCACTTGAACCCAGGAGGCAGATGTTGCATTCTAGCCTGGGTGACAGAGCAAGACTCCGTCTCAAAAACAAAACAAAACAAAACACACACACACACACACACACACACTCAGAGAGATATGCATACAATATGTAAACCAATATATGGCATATCTCTGGCTATAACATTTCAAAGGGGGTGGTTGTGATTACTGAGGAAAATGTCTTAAATGCCCCTTGTGGGGTACAATAATGGAAAAAGCATTTAGAAACGCTCATCTAGAAGGTCTAAAGTCCTTCTCTTTGAAATTCATTCACAGGTGCCGTTGTGAGCTCACCAGCTCCCTCCTTCCCGCCCACCTGCCCCGCTGCAAACAGGGACAGCACAGGAGTCTGCAGTCTCTCCCCTGCCCGCTGTGCGTCTGTACCAGGCTGGCCTCTTCCAAAGTCCTGATCTGTCCACAAGTTGCTCCTCAGCTTACTGTTATCTTTGAGCCATCTGAAGAAGCTGCAAGTTCACTCCAGGCGCTGAATAGAGGATCCGGGAGGTCTGGTGCAGACTGTGTTTAGCCCTAATGAGCGAACCCCTCCTCTGATCGTGCCAGCTTCCAGGACAGCACTCCAAGACTGTGGTTATCCTGGACACACTGACTGAAGGCGGAGCTCTTCCCTTCCTGGACCCTGTCTCAGTGGTCCATGAAGAGAGCCTGGCAGCCGTAGCACCAGCAACCTTCCTTTCGCTCCCCACCTCTCTCTTGTAACCTCTTGATAATCCTCCAGCTTCCACTCTTAGCCTGCTGCATTCAGCTTGGGGAACCTTAAAATACAGGTTGGGTCCTGGGAATGACAAGACCCAACCTGTGTTTTAAGGTTCCCCAAGTATAGTAGAGCTGTGCTTTTGCGTATTTTATCTCACTGATCAGTCACTACCTGAGAAGTAGGTTGTGTTATTTCCATTTTACATAAGAGGTAACATAGACTTGGGGACAATAAGTCATTTCTCAAAAACCACAAAGGTATTAACTGAAAAGCCATTAAAAGTTTTTCAAAAGAACAGGTTGTATTTTTCTGTCTTAAGGATATATGATAAAAGATTTGGATTAAACGTTACATCCACTGCACAATCTATGATTAAGAAGAGATTTCCTTAGAAAAGACTGAATGTTAACAAAACTTTCCCATTGTACTGAGTGTACTCCTGATGCTTCAGGTCAAGCCTCCTTGCTGGTTTTTAAAAGTCAGGTTCTTTCCTGTTTCACGGACCTGCCCAGACGGTTGCCTCTGCCTGACGGTTGCCTCTGCCCAGACGGTTGCCTCTGCCTGACGGTTGCCTCTGCCTGACGGTTGCCTCTGCCTGACGGTTGCCTCTGCCCAGACGGTTGCCTCTGCCCAGACGGTTGCCTCTGCCTGACGGTTGCCTCTGCCTGAAACGTCCCTCCTCTCCTCCAACTCATATCTCGCTCAAAAGTCTTATCTAAGGTGAGTTTTCCCCAACTATTTTTTATTTTAATAAAACCAACCACTTTGCATTTCCCGCCACTCTGTTTGTTCTCTTCATACATTCGTTTGTTTGCTGATGGATTTATTGTCTTTCTTCCCACTGGAAAGGCTGGAAACTTCCTGAGGCCGGGACCCGGTCCACCTTGCTCACTGCTATAACTCAGCCCCTTGCAGAGAGTCCAGAACATAGTAGGCATTTAATAATTATTGGTCGTTTTTATAAACTGCAGCAAGCGTGCTGCAGGAAGGAGCGGGCTGGTGCCAACATACATGGGAATGGTCAAGGAACTGGAAAACTGTCTCCCACTGGGCCTGCCACCCACACCCAAACCCCAGCACTGCTATTAAGGATCCACATGGGCCAGTGACAAGAGGGGGCTGAGGTCAGAGAGGGTACAGCCCAATATCTTCCAAGGTATAGGTTCGAGGGACCCTGGAGGTCTTCATGTATTTTTTCTAATCCACAAAGCCTATTGGAAATTAACTCTGAGGTTAATTTCAAGTGTCTACCGCCTCCTTGGTAGACCTGCTCTATAAGCAGGTAAGAAGGGTGCTTCCTCCTCTGCCTGCCCTAGTGAATATGGCCCGAAGGCTGGACAGCGGGGAAGAGAAGGCTTAGTCACCACTTTTGCAGTGCCAGCAATGCGAGCCACACTGATACTATCCTAGTGTACTTTCTATTTTCAAGGAACTGGCATGACTTCTACACAATTTCCACGAAAAATGTCTTCTCCACCTGACTCCGCCATGCTAATTCGTTGCGCTATTTGTAACACCCGTGGGTTTGTATTTTCAAGGAATTGTCATGTCTCTAATCTTCCGGATTCAGTTAGCTTAATCATCCAGGCTGTGCTCTGAGGAAGAAAATAGAAAGAATGTCAAAGAAACAGCGTATAGTAGAGCTGTGCTTTTGCGTATTTTATCTCACTGATCAGTCACTACCTGAGAAGTAGGTTGTGTTATTTCTATTTTACATAAGAGGTAACATAGACTTGGGGACAATAAGTCATTTCTCAAAAACCACAAAGGTATTAACTGAAAAGCCATTAAAAGTTTTTCAAAAGAACAGGTTTTATTTTTCTGTCTTAAGGATATATAATAAAAGATTTGGATTAAATGTTACATCCACTGCACAATCTATGATTAAGAAGAGATTTCCTTAGAAAAGACTGAATGTTAACAAAATCAAATGACATCTGTTTATCAGCCAGCAGATGAGTACTGGGAGATCTTGACTGCAGGGAAGTGAGATCAGAGATATTTCTGTGACACAGAATGAAAACCTCACTGGACCAGGAGGCCTGAGTTCAGCCCGTCTCATTTTTCACACACGATGTACCTTTCACCATCCCCTTCACCTCTCTGAGCCCCAGTTTCTTCAACAATAAAACAAAGAGGTTGAACCATATGTCACCTACAAAGTTCCTTCTTGCTCGAACGTTCTATGAGTGAATCATTCATCTTCTCTAAGACTCACTTCATCCTTCCTGGACACATCAGCGTGTTTCCTGAATTCTTTTCTGACCGTCATTACCATGTTTCCTGATGGCAAGTTACGAAAATTCAAGGTCCCCATTCCCTTCTCCAGCAAAGGAGTATGACCTCCACAGCCACTATTCTTTCTTTCATGTTATTCAGATTTCACTGGCTCCCACTCACCCTGCCTCCCCTTTCCTGCTGCTACCATGCTGGTCCAGGTTACAATTGTTTTCCAACTGGTGTCTCTCTCAGCGTCAGCTCTGGTCCAGCCTGTGGATGCCACCAGACTGATCTCATTAAGAGAGGGCAAAACTGTTCTCTTTGCTCTAAACTCTCAGTGACATCTCTGAAGCCATGGCCCTGCCCTCCAACCCCTCCCAAGTCTGGTCCCAACAAATCCTCTGTGCCTCTTAACTAATCCCTTGGAAACATGACTTCTCCTGGCCTCTTTCCTTGATCCTAAAAAAATGGAGAGTAGGCCAGGTGACGTGGCCGATGCCTGTAATCCCAGCACTTTGGGAGGCTGAGGCGGGCGAATCACAAGGTCAGGAGTTAGAGACCAGCCTGGCCACTGTGGCGAAACCCCATCTGTATTAAAAATACAAAAATTAGCGAGGCATGGTGGCAGTCACCTGTAGTCCCAGTTACTCAGGAGGCTGAGGCAAGAGAATCGCTTGAACCCAGGAGGTGGAGGTTGCAGTGAGCCAAGATCATGCCACTGCACTCCAGCCTGGGCGAGAGAGCAAGACTCTGTCTCCAAAATAAAAAAATAAATAATAAAAAGTGGAGAGTAGATACCATCCTGCTCAAAGTCCCCTTTGACTGAGAATTCCCTAACGCTACCATGGACAGGCTCTCATTTGTCGGCGGCCGCTAGCGTTTCCAGCCTCTGCCTGCCTACTGCTCTGTCTGGAATGTCTTGGGAGAAACTGAGGCTGTGACTGGTAGAGAAAGTGGAGGGTTTTGGCCCATGATCTCGGCTAGTTCTATGATTCTGGGTATGGTATTTAACTTCCTAAGCCTGTCTCTTCAATTGTGAAAAAGGGAAAGTCATCCTTTTCCTGTCTCCCTTACAGATTTGTTGAGAAGATCAAATGAAGGAATGAGAATTAAAGTAATACCTCCTCTTTCCTTCCAAAACCATTGATGCCTTGCACCAGACACTTTGCTGGGCACTAGGTATGTTGTGGTAAACTGGGCAGATTTGGTCTCTGTGCTCAAGAAGAGTTTGCAGTGTAGGCCAGAGCTATCCAATGGCACTTTCTGGGAGGGAGAAATACAGTAGCCACTAATCACTGTGGCTACTGAGCACTTGAAACATCGCGAGTATGACAGGGTTTTAAAACTTTGATTTTTAACTAATTTCATTTTAAATAAGCACGAGAGGGTAGTGGCTACCATATTGCATGGTCCAGGCCTGAACACTTAGTGAGCAAAGGAGGTATTAAAAAGAAGTTAATGGGAAATCCCAGCCAGAGCGATTAGGCAAGAGAAAGAAATAAAGGGCATCCAAGTTGGAAAAGAAGAAGTCAAACTATCTCTGTTTGCTGATGATATCATCTTGTATACAGAAAACCCTGAAGACTGCTCCAAAAGATTCCCTGGTTTGATAAATGAATCAGCAAAGTCTCGGGTTACAAATCAATGTGCACTACTATAGGACCACAGCAGTCAAGCTGAGAATCAAATCAGGAACTCAATCTCTTTTACAATAGCTACCAAAAAACGCCTAAGGATATACATAACCAAGGAGGTGAAAGGGCTCTACAAGGAGAACCACCAAACACGGCTGAAAGAAACCACGGGTGACATGACAAATGGAAAAACGTTTCATTTCATGTTCCTGGATTGGAGGGATCAACTTCATGTAAATGACCATCCTGCCTAAAAGCAATCTACAGATTCAACGCAATTCCTATCAAAATGCCAATTTCATTTTCCACAGAATTGGGGAAAAAAATACCCTGAAATTCACATAGAACAACAACAACAACAGAGCCTGAACAGCCAAAGCGATCCTAAGCAAACAACAAATTTGGAGGTATCATATGGCCTGACTTCAAATTATTCTACAAGGCTACAGTTACCAAACAGACGGAGGCTAGTTTAAAAGTAGACACACAGACCAACGGAATGAATAGAGGATTCAGAAATACTTAAAACCAACTTATCTTCCACAAAGTACACAAAAGCATAAACTGGGGAAAGGACACCTTATTCAATAAATGATGCTGGGAAAACTGGATAGTCACATGTAGAAAAATGAAACTGGATCCCTGTCTCTCAACACATACAAGAATTAACTCAAGATGGATTACAAACTTAAATCTAAGACCTGAAAACACAAAAATCCTAGAGGAAACCCCAAGAAAAATTCTTCTGGCCATTGGCCTAGACAAAGAATTAGTGACGAAGACCCCAAAAGCAAATGCGACAAAAACAAAAATAAATAAACAGAACCGAATTGAACTAAAAAGCTTCTGGACATCAGAACAAATGATTAACCGAGTGAACAGACAACTCAATGAAGAGGAGAAAGTATTTGCAAACTATGCATCTGACACAGGACTAATATACAGAATCTACAAGGACTCAAATCAGCAAGTAAACACATAATCCCACTTAAAAAGTGGACAAACCACATGAATAGACATTTCTCAAAAGAAGATATACAAACGTCAAACACGTGAAAAATGCTCAACATCACTAATCACTGGGGAAATGCAAATTAAAACCACAATGAGATATCACCTTACCCCAGCCAGAATGGCCATTATTAAAAACTAACTAACTAAATAAATAAATAATTGCTGGATGCAGTGGCTCATGCCTGTAATCCCAGTCCTTTGGGAGGGCGAGACAGGTGGATCACCTGAGGTCAGGAGTTTGAGACCAGCCTGACCAACATAGTGAAACGATCTCTACTAAAAATACAAAAGTAGCCTAGCATGGTGGGGCATACCTGTAATCCCAGCTACTTGGGAGGCTGAGGCAGGAAAATCGCTTGAACCTGGGAGCCAGAGGTTTCAGTGAGCTGAGATCTTGCCACTGCATTCCAGCCTGGGCAACAAGAGCAAAACTCCTTCTCAAAAAAAAAAAAGAAAAAAAGATGTTGGCAAGGATATGGTGGAAAGGGAATGCTTATACACTTCTGGTGGGAATGTAAATTATTATAACCTTTATGGAAAACAGTATGGTGATTTGTCAAAGAACTGAAAAGAGATCTACCATTCAATCCAGCAATCCCACTATTGGGTATCTACCCAAAAGAAAAGAAGTCATTATATCAAAAAGACACCTGCATATGTATGTTTATCGGAGCACAATTCACAATTACAAAGATATGGAATCAACCTAAGTGCCCATCAACCAATGAGTGGATAAAGAGAATGTGGGGTGTGTGTGTGTGTGTGTGTGTGTGTGTGTGAGTACTATGCAGCCATAAAAAGAACAAAATAAAATATTTTGCACAACTTGGAACTGGAGGCCATTATCCTAAGCAAAGTAATTCAGAAATGAAAAACTAAATACCACACATTCTCATTTATGAGATGGAGCTAAACTATGGGTACGCAAAGGCATACAGAATGGTACAAGAGACATTGGAGACTCATAAGAGGGGAGAGGAAGTGGGGAAGGAATGAAAACCAATGTATACTATTCATGTGATGGGTTCACTAGCATCCCAGACTTCATTGCTGTAGAATTTGATATGGTTAGGCTTTGTGTCCCCACCCAAATCTCATCTTGAATTGTAATCCCCATAATTCCCATATCCCCATGTGTCAGGGAGAGACCAAGTGAAGGTAATGGAATCATGGGGGCAGTTTCCCCATGCTGTTCTGGTGATAGTGAATGAGTTCTTACAAGATCTGATGGTTTTGTAAGGGGCTCTTCTCCCCTTCACAAGGCACTTCTCCATTCTGCCACCTTGTAAAGAAGATTCCTTGCAGGCCAGGTGCAGTGGCTCATGCCCGTAATCCCAACAATTTGGGAAGTCAAGGTGGGTGGATCACTTGAGGTCAGGAGTTCGAGACCAGCATGGCCAATGTGGTGAAATGCCATCTCTTTTTGTAAAAATGCAAAAATTAGCTGGGCACGATGGCACACACCTGTAGTCCCAGCTACTCAGGAGGCTGAGGCAGGAGAACTGCATGAACCCAGGAGGTGGAGGTTACAGTGAGCTGAAATCTCCCCACTGCACTCCAGCCTGGGCAACAGAGAGAGACTCTATCTCAAAAAAAAAGGTGCCTTGCTTCCTCTTCA